TTTTTATCAACACTATAAAAAATTTCTCTCAATATATAATTAAACAATCATTCAATTCGTCAATTCATAAATAAATGTTTGTTAGAGTTCTATTTCCGGCCTGCTTATCAGTTAAGAGGTTAAACTTGGCCATATTGATATTTAATTTATCATGTTCGAGCAACACACCTAATCAGTTAAAAAAAGGGGCGAAAAAGTGCATTATGCTACTCATGCTCCAAGAAATTAAATTGATGAGCACTATTCTAACCATCCAAATTAAAACTGGAAAGGTCAGATTTAATTTAATGTTACCTAATGTTTATATTTTTAATATGTTTTTATTTTTAATAGATATAGAATTTGAAATAAAAATAATCTTTTAATTATTATTTAAAAATTAAAAATGTTAAATATAAACCATTTAAATCGGGTTTAGATTATTCATATTTGACCACAATTGCCTTAAAGTTACTATAATTTGTAGAGCTGGTAATATGAGTTGGACCTGCGGGTCCAACCCGCCAACCCACCAAAAAAGATGGGTTGGCCAGCAAATAAAATTTTTAACCCGCATTGTTTAACCCATAACTTACCGCAAGTTAGCTCACCAACCCGCAGATTAACCTGCGTTTATTTTTTTGGTATTTTTTTGATTTTATTACTTATTATAATTATATTATTATATTTTATATCCTATCTAAAAAATTAAAAAAAAAACCATTATCATTTATTTGGTGTTTTCAATCAAATACTTAAAGGAAAAAAAATAAAAATTTCATTATATTTTATTTACATTGTATAAGAAAAAATATTTAAAAATGACAAAATTATTTTTTTTAAAAAAATAATAGTTGGCAAGTTGGCAACCCACCATGACGAGAAGCCAACCCGTTATTACATGGGCCTTGTCAACCCGCGCGACTTAACCTTTTGTTGGTTGGTCCATATTATCACCCTTAATAATTTGTCAGTTTCTATATATGTGTGCGCGTACGCACACTTCGAACTTTGGTCATTTCAAAAGTGAAAATGTGCATGTTTACGTCTTATTATTATTATTGGAATAAAAGACGGCGTGAAAATATTTAGAGTCTAGCTTCCTAAAGAGAGCCTAGGAATACAATTTTCTAAGGCGAGAATGGCTTTGTATTCCACAGGAGCAACATTTATAATGACAGTTTCATAACATCCATTTGATAACCTTGGCCGGCCAAAGAATCGAAGGCAAAAGTCTTGTCACATGTTAGGAGGTTGTGAATACATTTGATCCAGCCATTGAGAGGATGACGGTGAGTTAGGTTGCTATTAATAAATTGCAATGCTTCTGCACAGTGGCTAGAGACAATTTCTTTTCGGTAATTGTGATTCCAACTTAGGTGCATTCCTTCATTGATTCCCATAATTTCCGCAGCAATATATGGGGAGTGTATCCTCGTTTTTTAACAAAACAAAGTTTTCAAACTGCCTCATTGTCTCAGAGCGGGTAGCTTCATCATTCCAACACACCTACTGCCCAATCTCAACCAACTTTTTTGAGGAGGAATTCATATTTAGAGAGTCAGTATAGGATGGGTCGAGGATGTTTTTAAGAGATTGAAGCTTCTCAATAATTCTCTAATCAATATTTATCTTTTTTTTTTTTTATGGTAGTCCTTGAAGTAGTTGCGCATGTTAAATATTTTATCAAATAATAGTTCTACCTAATACATGTAATTAGTAAGAGTATTTTATGAAAGACAACACCTATTTATTACAAATAATTAATTTAATTAATTTTTAATCTACTTAAATTAATTAACTAGTTCTCATATTAAGTACATGAGGTAATACTAAGTATCCTTTCATATGCCCGAGCACACATGAGCGAAGAGCTTTTGCTAAGGGATTTTCCTGAAATTTACAACTGCCCATCTCATGTTCATATATCCTTATATTAAGGTGAGGGTGCTGAAATTTCATTTCAATATAAATATATACACACACGGAGTACCAACATGCCATATTCATCTAAAATATACTCAGAAACGGAGTATCAATTCATTAATCTACCTATATACAAATGAAATCCTAATTTAAATCATCAAGAGGACACACATTCATGGCAAACTTTGCATTTACATGGTTCAACCCATCCTCTTTAGATAAGCCGAAGCCTAAAGCTTTGGTCCTCTCTCAAGCGATATCCTACCCACCTCAATCTAGATAGGAGGGGTGATGAATGTTGGCAACTAATAACACATAAAATATATATCAAATCATTATTTAAAATTCAAAGCAACTCATTTTTTAATTTAAATCATATATATTAGCACATTAAAGTGTCAAATTAACAAAATCATTATTGATATATGTTGCATCATGTTAGATCATGTAATTTTATAAAGGATTGAAATGATTTTAAGTGAATACAACCTAATAAAAAATAAACAAATATAATTATCAAAATGATTAAAAAATACCTCAAACAATTATAATATATATTCAGGTTTAAACAGGCTGGATCTTGACAAGCTTCAGAGTTAATCGGGTCAGGCCTAAAACCCGTTTAGCCTAAAATCATGTTTTCTTGAAAGCCTAGCCATTGATATGCTTGGGTTTAAATTGGCCGACATGATAGATTCGACCCATTTTTTTTGTCTCTAATTCCATGAGAGTACACAGTAATTTCCCCTTAATCTTCACTTTTGAATTGGTTAGGTGATAGGTATTAACCGAAGATGAATATTGGTGCAGTTATTATTATATGCTGTATATGAGGTAATGGAACTTGGGAATGGGATCCTCTATATGTCTATCATCAATCAAAACATTAAATAAGATCAAACCCAACACATACACGCACACACATTACCACGTTGTGTCTTCATGGCTCAAATCCTACTATTTTACCCAGCCAAACGAATTTCTTTCCTCTCTTCCTTATGACCGGAGTGGTATCTATTATTTTATCTAATCCATGCATAACCAATAAGCACATAATCTACAGCAATTTAAGGCGCAAGGGCGGAAGGAAAAAGAAAGTGAAGCTTTATCTAATAATTAACTGTTCTGGTGCGTTTGTGTGTCTTACTATTTGTGTGAAAATTTGCTAAGTGTTTGGCAATGTCGATATGTATGAACGCTGCGGGGGTCAATGCAGACGTGATATAGTACGTACATACTAAACACAAGGGAGATTGCAGAATTTGATTTTTAAGGTGATAAGTATTATCTCCCACATGAATATCAACATAATACAGTGAGAAGCATCGAGTGAGCAACAAGAAAAACAAAAGTCAACGAATATTACGTATTGAATGACGTAATTGAAAATCGGGGAACAAATCCTTTACAATATATTATTAATGGAAACATTGTTCAAGATCATACGCTACACAAGGTCTTCTTATAATATATAACAGCCACGAACATACTTGTCTCCATGACTCATCCAAAGAAAAGTACCAAACAATGATGATCATCTTCTTATTCTATTATTTCCTTCTTTTTCTTGCTTTCTTCTTCACTCTCAAGCTCTTCGTTCAAAATAATAAGAAGTACAAAAACATCCCACCTGGTCCACCTTCTCTTCCCATTGTCGGCAACCTCCACCAACTGAAAAAACCACTTCATCACTCCTTTCATCGGATTTCTCAACGTTATGGCCAAATTGTTTCTCTTTGGTTTGGCTCTCGTCTCGTGGTCCTTGTCTCGTCGCCTTCTGCAGTCCAAGAGTGCTTCACCAAAAACGATATCGTCCTGGCAAACCGGCCCCGCTTTCTCCTCGGTAAGTATCTTTCCTACAATTACACCGGCTTAGTGTTCGCTCCTTACGGTGACCACTGGCGCAAACTCCGCCGCATCACGGCTGTTGAGGTGCTCTCCAACCACCGTCTCAACAAATTCTTGGAAATGAGAAGAGACGAGATGAAGCGCCTGGTGCAAAAGCTTGCTCAAGAATCATGTAACGAGTTTGCGAAAGTGGAGATGAAGCCAAGGTTTTCAGAGATGATGTTCAACACTATGATGCGAATGATTTCAGGTAAGAGGTATTGGGTAGATGACCATGAAGTTGGGGACGTGGAAGAAGCAAGAAAGTTTAGAGAGATGATAAAGGAGTTGGTGACACTTGGAGGAGCAAATAATCCTGCAGACTTCCTGCCCATATTGAGGTGGTTTGATTATGATCACGTGGAGAAGAGGCTCAAGAGTTTCGCCAAGAGATGTGATGGGTTCATGCAAGGACTCATTGATGAGCATCGAAATTCAAAGCAGAGAGCAAATACTATGATAGATCATCTTTTAAGTTTTCAAGAATTACAGCCTGAGTACTACACAGATCAAATTATCAAGGGCCTCGCTTTGGTAAGTAGTTAAAACTGTTTTTTTTTTTTTTTTGTGCTTTTTGCTTTTGTGAAATCTTTTAATTTGTTGATCTTCTCTTTGAGGTGTGCTTGTAACGTATGTTAAGCTTGCGGATAGTAGATGTAGAGTTAATGATGGAAGAATTTGAGAATGCTGCAATAAATTCCTAGCAGAACTGCAAAAAGGAAAAATAATGATAGGATTTGAATGCTGCTGCTATGGGGGTTTTCCAAAAAAGCACTATTTTGAAATTGATTTTACTTCGCCAATTTTGACATGTAGGTCATGCTTCTTGCTGGAACGGATACATCGGCCACGACTTTAGAATGGGCAATGTCGAGTTTATTAAACAATCCTCATGTGTTGGAAAAGGCAAAGAAAGAAATAGACACACATATAGGGCAAGAGAGATTAATAGATGAGCCAGACATCTCAAAACTACCATACCTGCAAAGCATTATCTTTGAAACATTTCGATTGCATCCTGCAGCTCCAATGTTGGTTCCACACGAGGCTTCAGATGATTGCACCATTGCAGGATATAATGTTCCACGTGGCACTATGGTATTAATCAATGCTTGGGCAATCCATAGAGATCCCCAAGTGTGGAGTGCTCCTACAAGTTTTGAGCCAGAGAGGTTTGAGAAGGAAGGAGAAGCAAACAAGCTAATTACATTTGGGTTGGGAAGACGAGCATGTCCTGGAGCAGGTTTAGCTCAACGAACAGTGGGATTAACTTTGGGATTGTTGATTCAATGCTTTGAATGGAAACGAGTAAGCGAGGAAGAAATTGATATGACAGAAGGAGCAGGAGCCACCATGCCAAAAATTATTCCATTAGAGGTCATGTGTAGAGCACGCCATCCAATAATTGATACACTTCTTTCTTAAAACGTTATAGAGGATAGCTATTTAAAGGTCCCTTGCCCGGTTGTCATTGTCCTCAGAGGCAATGGATTGATTAGTTCTTAATACTCATTGGCCCTCAAAAAAGCATGAGGACAGGATTCTCTAATAAATTGTAACCGTGTATATCATCTTCCTTGATCGCGGCAATAATGAGGATCTCCTTTGATTTGTTTAAGCTATGGTAAGTGTTTCAAGTAGTCAACCCGCTGGTTCTCACCTTATCTTCTTTGCTTTTGTTATTGTTTCTATCGACTGAGATTTCAAGTTATTAGATATAAGATAGAGATGAAGAAAAGTACCATTTTTCACGTTTGTTTAAAGTAGAAGTAAAAAGTATGAAGTACTTATTACGTTTTTTCTTTTTATGTCAAACCAAAACAAAAATAAAAAGTCAGTCAAAACAGAGATAAAAAGACTGTGTCATAGTAGTAGTGGACGTTGCTGTCCTATTTGATACGAAACATTAAAAATGAGAGATAAAGACTAGAATTGTAATTGAAAAAAGTCACTAAAAAAGTCTTTAACATGAACAATTACTTGTTACATGGGATTAGGCAAACCCATGAAGGTAGAATTAGAAAATATCACTTTCCTCCATGATATTCCTTAATCCCACATATATGGGTTTCTTTAATCTCATATAATAAGCAATCTCTCATACCTAATACTCTTTTAATAGATTTTTTTCAATCCCAATTCCAATTCTTCATTTTCAATGCTTCATACCAAACTATGCCTGAGTGTTTGGGACCTCTTCAAATAATTACTTTATGTTCTACGAGACAAAGCTTCTATCTTATAGCACAAGAATACTTTTTGTTATTAGGTTAGTCCAAACTGACACTCAATAGCAAATTCATCCAAATCTAAAAATTGATTCCATCAAACTCTTGTATAAATAGTAAAGTCCAAGTCCTTTAACTAGTTTTTCTTTCGCCAACTGATATGCAGCAACATTAGCAAACGAGAAAATTGCGTCTCGTTTAATCTTGTTCGTTGGCTTCAGAACATTTGTTTTCAATAGAAAAGGGATTTAGGGAGCATTTCTTTCTTAAAAATGCTCCCATTGGTACTCATTATGCTTGATCTTTCTTTTTTTTTAATACTTATGTTTGAATTTTCAAATGGTCATTTTTTGTACTGAAAAATTAAAAGTGAGTTTTGAAAATAGCAAAAGTGTAACGCAAAAATCAAATGGGTAATGAAAAAGATAAAGGTTGATTACTAGAGAATTTTAAAAAGAAAAATCTCTGAAAAAGACCCTTAAATAACCCAAATTCTTATTTGGGTTATTGAACTTATCAAACTCCTAATTAGGTCACATGACCCAAAAAAGGATTTTAAAATTTTATGAAATGACTCTAATGTTCTTTCATTAGAAACCTAAGGAAATAAGAATTTTCTATCATTTTTAAATTGGTAATTTAAAATTCAAACGTATTGACTATGTAATTGAACTTGTTAATTTTTAAAGTTGTATTGTGATCATTTTTTATTTAAAATTTATTGAAAGTGTATATTGAAGACAAAAATTATTAATTTAGAATTAAAATATATTAATAGTGAAATGTAACATGTTACTTTTTAAGGTTATATTATGATTAAGTTTTATTCAAAAGCTTACTACAAGTGTTATGGGGACATAAAATTGTTAATTTCGAACTGAAACTTGTTAACTACGTAATTAAACTTATGAATTTTTTAAGATTGTATTGTGATCAAGTTTTATTCAAAGACTTGTTACAAGTGTGTTATGAAGACAGAAAGTTATTAATTTACAATTAAAATGTGTTAACTGTAAAATTGAACATGTTAATTTAGAATTTTCTTTTGATTTCTAATGAAATAGACATTATAGTCGTTTTATAAAATTTTAAAATTTCTCTTTAGGTCATATGACTTGATTAGGTATTTAACAAATTTAATTACCCAAATAAGAATTTGGATTATTTAAGTGTCTTTTTAAGAAATTTTTTCATTTTAAAAATATTATTAATTATTAAAAAATTAAGATATTAAATATGAAGGAAATTAAAAAGGGCCTTGGTCTATCTTTGAAACTTAAAAGCTCTAAAATTCAAGGTCTTTATATGAAATTCAAATATCATTCCCCTGGTACATATCCAGTCTTGCCCGCCCCTCGCAATTTAGAGAACAAAGTGGCAACAATATATGTAAGCGAGATAGACTAATGGGAAGATGACGGAAACATGATTTGGATTGATTTAGAGAAAACAGAAGAAGGCTGGGGGTGCAAAGCAATTCAAAGTCCCGGTACGTCTTGAGTTTGAAAGATGATTGATTTACTTTTCTTTTCCTAATAAAATATTGCAATTATATTTATTAGGCGAAGAAGCAAACTGACATATTGCAACAAAATTTAGTTCGGCGATGTCTTTTGTCATTTTCTCCAGCTTTTCATTCTTTTCCACAGCCTTTTTTAAAGATATTATATCACACAGCCAAAAATTTCAATATGCACCAGTGCACCTTTTGTTTTTTTGTTTTATTTTAAACCGCAAGAGCAAAATTATATAACTGGCATATAAAGTTATTTTCAAAGGTCAATTAGTGCCTAGTTTGAACCACGATGACGATTTCTTATTTATGAGGTAGCTGGAGAAGATAATGGTGATGGTAAGGAGTTTGAAGATGGTGGAGCTGATGATCAAAACAGAAATTTCAATAAAGTTCATTATAGAATTAGTGAACATGACCAATCTCAAACACTTAAAAGACAATGTCAACAGAAGTTTTCAAATACTTTGATTACTATCATCTCTGTCATTTTCAAATTCCTTACCATCACCCTTCGCTGCCATAGAATTATTAATATTTGACTTATTTTTGTTTATATTTGATAGTTTCAAACCACCAAATATGAAAGAATTACTTGACAGTTCTTTGTTAATAACTATTAAATAAGATCATCTTATTTGAAAATGAAAAATAAAGCGGCTTCATTTTTTATTATATACAGTTATTTGGTATTATTTTGGTTTTTATTTACGAGACAATATAATCATTGATAATAATAAGCGAATATAATATTAAATAAAAAATTATATTTATGGAATTCAAAATCCAACAAATTATAGATAAACATCATACATTTAATAAAAAATTAATCACTTGAACACTCTATGCAAAGGAACATGGTCTCTCCTTTAGAATTCTAAAAGAAAATTCCACAATAATGTAGAAGAACATTGCCACAGTCCATGGATCATGTATTAGTACTTTCAGTCACTTCGATCATAAAGGCAGAATCATCTCAGATACCTTCATAATAGTACACTATTTTATTTGATTCATCTCAGTATTTTAGATTAGTAAATCTGAAGTAGTGATTTTCTTCTCCAGCTACCTGATAAATAAGAAATGGTTATCATGATTCAAATTAGACACTAATATTTTCTGACCAAAAAAAAATTAGACACTAATATTTGACCTTTGAAAATAACTTTGCATTCTAGTTACATAATTTTATTTGTTCTCTCGATTAAAACAACAAAAACAAAAACAAAAGCTGCATTGGTGCTAGTGCACATCGAAATTTTTTAACCATGTGGTCTCTGTGTCCCTTAAAATCTCATAATATCTTCACAAAAGTCACGGAAAAGGATGAAAAGTTGGATAAAAGGACAAAGGATAAATAAATTTTGCCACCATGTCAGAGTTTGCTTCTCCCTATTATAGTTTCGTCATACCTTGGATCTTGTGTTAAAAACACAAACAAAAACTATGCCAAACTTTGTTATCCTCTCAGATCTTTAATGTGTATCATATTGGGAAACAAAAGTAAATCAACAATCCAGCTTCTAACAATCTAAGGTTATAAGTAAAATCGGACCGCCACCTGCTATCTGTAGAAGAGCATTCATTCTCTTCCTATCTCCGTCTCAAGACAAAGAAAGACTAGCATACAGAGACGTAGAGTTACGAGAGGGTTGGGGATGTTTGGTTTCTCCCAAAAATACTCTTTACAAACACTTTCGGTCAAAATAAAATTTCTTTTACGTATTTCATACACTATAAAATTATTTTTAAAATTATGATTTTGTTTTCGTCCAAACACTTTTTAGAGCAAAAAATATCAAGAAGGAGGTGAGGAAGAATAAGAGGCTTTGAATGGATCAGGTAAGACATCCAATCGCGTTCATTTATTCTAACGGGATTAAAATGCACTATGAATTGCAAAAAACGCAGCATTAAGATGCATTTTTTACAATTATAAGCCAATATATCACTCATTAATCTCTTTTTTCAACAAGTCCATGATGAAATTTCATAACAGAATTTCAAATGCAAGAACCGACAAAGCAACGTATCCATACAAAGCATGCAAAACTAAAAACTAGAAGGGAATTGTTGGTATACATGTAGATGTCCCCATTCACTTATTGCAATAAATTATATCAACTACTAAAAATGCACTTTTTATAGCATGAAACTCCCACCCACACACAACCCCACGCCTATGGATGCAATTCCTTAACATAGCCTTCATCTACAGCATTTTAAGAAAAAAGCCCATCAATGATTGGATGGCGTGCTCTACACATGGCTTCTAGAGGAATAATTTTTGGCATGGTGATCCCTCCCCCTTCTCTCATATCAATTTTTTCCTTACTTGCTCGTTTCCAATCAAAGCATTGAATTAACAATCCCAAAGTTAATCCTACAGTTCGTTGAGCCAATCCTGAGCCAGGACATGCTCGTCTTCCTAACCCAAATGGAATCAGCTTGTTTGCTTCTCCTTCTTTCTCAAACCTCTCTGGCTTAAAACATGTAGGATCACTCCACACTTGGGGATCTCTATGAATTGCCCAGGCATTGATTAATACCATAGTGCCTCGTGGAACATTATATCCTGCAATAGTGCAATCATCTGAAGCCTCATGTGGAACCAACAATGGTGCAGCTGGATGCAGTCGAAGTGTTTCAGAGACAATCCTTTGCAGGTATGGTAGTTTCGAGATGTCCGGCTCATCTATTAATCGTTCTTGCCCTATATATGTGTCTATTTCTTTCTTTGCTTTTTCTAACACATGAGGATTGTTCAATAAACTAGACATTGCCCACTCTAAAGTCACAGCTGATGTATCCGTTCCAGCAAGAAGCATAACCTACATA